ATTCCTCAAAATAACTAATCCTAATAGAGCAATTCCTTTCCTTACAATCTTGTGCGAGTATTATCCTAGAACTGATCCATCTTCGTTTATTTTTTCTTTACTTGAAATTGTTTGTAAGGGTGGACTTCCTTTGTTCCACTAAATTCTCATTTTAATAATACAGTCACAATAACAAAATATTTTTTAGTACAACGTGTATCAAATTGAAATTAATTTATAAAATATTTCTAGTAAAATAGAGAACATTCACACACATCATTTATCACTCAATCAAATACAATCTATTTCTCCTTTATTTAAAATAATCATTTTCTCATTTCATTAGCACAATCATTCAATTTCTCAGCTTATGCCACTTCAATAATTTCAATTCTAAATCATTCACTAAATAAGAGTAGTCTAGGTACTCACGGGCCTCCAAGTCATTGCCAACACACTTTTTCTAGTTATGATAGACTTACGCTAGTGTTGATAGTCACTAGTCAGCCAAACCACACATGGATACCACGTGTGCGTTCACAACCTTCATAGCAAAGGTATAGTGAGGAGATCAGTTAGGAAATGAACATGAGACCTATAAATGCATCCCACTATTAATCGTGTACACATCAGTGAACAACATTTATCACCCTCATTTCCTCCAGACTTCCACTATCGACTCCAAACCCTATACCCCTAGTGTATCTCTGAACTATCCATATGGTAACTCAACAGTGGCATACCAAAATTATACTGCTTACATCAATCAATATTATTCTAATACATGTGTTACAATCACACTAATCAATGTGTTACAACATGTGTTATAATCTCACTCGTCAATATACTACAACATATATATTATAATCTCATTAATCTGTGTAAATATGACACATGTATTAGTCATCATTTTCTATTTTCTCATATTTTGTTCAGTGATTCTCATAACATCCACTTTCTCAGCATTTTCACATTATACATAATTTATCAATACTTATCTTTTCACTTTGATAACATAAACAACTTGAATTCTTTTCATGCATAGTCATTCACATAAACTCTCTATTCATCAAATTTCACTAATAACGTATTTTTCTTTATTTTTTATCTCACCATTCAATTAAAGAAGTATTTCTAAAGTATACATATTCAGACTTTATCCAATTCACACATAGGTAACAAAATATCCTTTATCATTCAAAAATAGTTAGACCATTTACATAGCTCTTATACAATAATCAAGCTTCTCAATCCAACATATAATTATAAACCAGAAAAGCATGTCAATACAAACCCAATACAATGCGCCGAAGTTCGGACACCTTCAAACTCAACTTAATCGCGCAATTTTCTCAACATGAACTCCCTTAAATAGCCTTTAAAACTATGCGTTCTCGCTTGAGTGAGCGTGCTCTCGCTTGAATGAGATCATTTTCTCCTAAGCAAGCTCTTTTTTGCTTGAGCAACAAAATCATATAATAGTTTTTCAGCCTTTTTCTAATATTCTTGCCTGGACAAGATGTATTCTTGCTTGAGCGATAATAGTTTCAGAGAGTTCTCTGATTTTTCCTGTGAGGTCACCTGAGTGAGACGACAGTTGGGTCGACCTGATCCTCTCTTGCTTGAGTGAGACTTGTCTCTCTTGAGCTAGAATGCTCCAGAAAGCCAATCCAAAAAGACACTGTCTCACTTGAGCGAGACATATCTCACCTGAGTGAGAAACCCTGCATCAAAATCCCTATTTTTTCAAAAATAAGGTAATAAAATATGAGGGTGTTACATAAAGTACTCCTATGTTCGAGATCAAATTTTAGGATCTACTTTTACTCCCATTATGGCTACGGCTTGCTCCTCTTTGCTACACATTCCTACCAAAGTCATCACTGCTTCATATGTTCTTCTAACTCTTACGTCATCTACTCATATTGACTCTTCTGCCTTGATCTCATAGGAAGGTGATTGTGGTCGCTCTAGTAAGAATAATGGTGATTTTCACTCAAGTTTTTAAGTGTGACCACTACCATAAAATTGGCCAAACTATTAACTGTTGTTATGCTTTGCATGGTTAACCCCTTACAACAGCCAATATGGTGCAATTTGTTCCTCTCAAATTTGCTTTGTCATCTGCTCCACACTCAATCTGCTTCCACTTCTAACATCTCATGATCACTCTTCAATGATTTCCTTCCTTGGTATGAGGAATGTCAGGCCTCTGGTTCTATTGCTTCAATTATGTGCACGAGTAATTCTTTTGTTGGTATTTCTCATTTCTTATTTCTTGGTCCATAGGTTCTTAATTTAGGTGTCACTGTCATATTACTAGTAACAAATTCATTTTTCCTTCCCTCTCTACATCTGGTTACTTACCTTCTATTACAATGGCTAACGGGTCTCAAATATAGTCTTAGAGTGTTAGCACTGTCTCTCCCCTTTCATTATTATTTATTGACAATGTCTTATAGGTTCGTGAGTCTCCTTTTAATCTTTTATTTATATGTTGTCTCACTCACACACTAAATTATGTTGTTTCTTTTACTAAAGACTTTGTTTGTTTCCAAGACTAGATGACGAGGAATATGATTGGCACCGGTTATGAGTCATATAAACTTTATTAACTTCAACTCATCACACATGCTGGTTTGACAGTGAATTCACCTCTTCTTCTACATGCTAGGTTGGGTCATCCAAGTATTCAGAAACTACAAATATTGGTGTCGAGTCTCTCTCAGTTATTTAAACTTTCTTGTAAGTCGTATCAAATAGGAAAACATGTCCGTAGTTTATTTCTAAGTCGTGAAAAATAAGCGAGCCACATCTTTTTTTAGTTTGGTTTATTATGATGTTTGGAGTCCTAGTCGTACTATCTCTACTTTAGGTTTTTAGTATTTTATCACATCTATTGATGATTATTCTCATTGTACACAGTTATTTTTAAAGAATATTGTTTTGTGTATCATCGTCGGCAACCAGCTTCTCCTTCGACCATCAACATGCCATGGGACCCTCCCTTGGCTCGAATACATGTGCCTCTTTTGATCCTATCACTTGACATTAATCTTCCTATTGCACTCTAAAAATATATATGTTTCACTTGTAACCTCCTCATTATGCTGCTTTATCATATCATCATTTATCATTTTTTTAATACATTTATCTTTCTTCTTTATCCTTTATTTCTATTCCTAAGAACACAACATAAGTTCTCTTACATCCCATTTGGTGTCAAGCAATGCTTAATGAAATGTGTGTGTTTCACAGTAGTGGCACTTAGGAAGACTTATGTTGCATGAATACGAGTATAATACTCATATCTAGTCCAGATACAAATACAGAATACAATAATTTTTAAAGATTAAATATATAGGTATGTGAATATAAATTTTAAATGATATAAATATTAGAATATTGTTATAAAAATATGTATTATAAAGGAATTTAACAAATTTTATTATACATTTCATGAATAAAGATGAACAAATTTGATTAAATAAAGAAATATAGCATAATTGAAAAAAAGTAAAATAATTTATAAATTTACTAGAAAATTTTTGTTTAAGAAAAAAAATCTAGCTAGTATTTAAGTATAATTGACAATATCTTAATCGTATTTATTTTCATTAAAGTTATACTTATATTACATATAATTATTGATTTTGTAAAAATAAATTTGATAAATATTCAAGTGTATCCAATGAGTACATGTACATACTCAATATAGGTACAAGTACAAGTACAATTTATAAATCAAAGTACTCATGCTTTAGAAAGCATAACTGTTTGGTGGTTCTTGATTCCAATAAAAATAAAGGATCCTTAAAGTCCTATTGCTAAAAATAGAATATTTTAACCACTAAAATACGGTATTTTTAAGATGAATGATGATAAGTCTTGAATGTAGCATTCTTAAGTTTGGACACTTGAATTTCAAGAGCTTAAACTTGTTGTGATGTGAATTAACGGGGATCTTTCCTTAAGTTAGTTTAATTAAATAAAGAAACAAAGTTGTGTTATAACACAAGTGTATCTTGGTTCTAAAAAAATTTGAGTTTTAACATTTCCAAATCAAGAAAAAGATAAAATTTTCAAACATAAAATAGGATAAAGAAAACACCGAAAAAGAGAAGGAAGAGAAAAAGAGAAGAAAGCGTTACAAACTAAATTTCATAGAAAATTGATAATAACAAACTTAGTGTAGAATTGCCATAGGAGTGTGAGAAACTCTTGATAAAATCTAAGTTATGGTTCTTTCTAAGAATTCTAAGAAGCACACAAGCACACTTGAAAATGTAGCCCTCAATTTTTATTTAAAACTAAAGTTGTCTCACTCCTAAAAGAGCCTTATATAAATATATAACAAAAAGTAAAACTCTAAAAGGCTAAGTAATCAATATGACGAAGCTCACTAACATAATTTAAATAAAAATTCTAAATTTTTTTAATAATAACTATAATTAAGTCTACTAAATATAATAAAATATAAAATTCTAAAAAAGCTTGATAATCAATGTGGTCTAACCCGCTAACCTAACCCAACATATAAAAAACTATTTAATTAATATATAAAATTTTAACCCAAAATACATGTTAAAATAAGATTAGATTAACATAAATTAAATTTAACCTTAATTTTTATAATCTTCAACTAAAACATAAGAGACCAACTTTGGCTTCTTCTTTTTCAGTTTCTTAAACGCAGTTGTTATCATTTAATTTAAAGTTTAATTGATTTTTTTTTTTTTTACCTTGTCATTAAACTTCTAAATCCTTATAAAAGATCCATCTCTTTATTTTCTTTCTTCTTTATCATTATTTCCCGTTAGTTCTCATCATTCTCTCCTTTAAGTGAATTTGTCTTTGAGTTAAGATCTTTATTACCTATATATCAAAAAGATATAAGTAAAAAATATTATTGATTTTACTGACTTTATACTAAAGGTAAGTCATTTTTAGAAGTAATGTCATTTATTCTCTAATGATCTATTGTCCCTTGTTAGAGTTCTAATTTTTTTTTTCGTAGTAGTTGTTTTTTTTATCATGTGAGCTTACACTCAATATTGAAGTTTAAACATAACTTTCTTCTTTCCTTTGTTAGCATGTTAGCTTTATAGAGCTTTTTCACATATTTAAACTTAGCTTTTTCATCCTTATGTATTAAAGAAGAAGGGAAACAAACTAAGAGAAGTTAGAGGATTAAATCCATAAACATTTTCAAAAGGAAAATATTGTGTATTAACATATATTACCCTTTTGTAAGTAAATTCAATGAGATAAGCAATCATTTACTAATCTTCTATAGAAGCTTACTACTCCAAACATCACAAACGAATTTGGGATTGGTCAATCTCTAATGACCTTAACTTTTTCTTTATTAACCTATACTCCTTTTGAACTTACCACAAAATTAAGAAAAATTAGATGAATAGCGCAAACAATACTCTTATCTAAGCAAGCCAAGGACATTACAAAACATAATTAAGATATTCAATGCTCTTCAAAATTCTTGGAATAAATCAAAATGTCATCAACTTATACATCGACAAATTTTTCAAGAAATTTGCCTGAGACATTAATTAATCCAAAATACATTACACACCACTCATACAGTTCATATTTAATTTTGAATACATTCTTCCATTCATCTTCTTCCTTTATCCTAATTTGACAATACCCACGAAATGAAACAAGCATCAAGCAGGTCATCAAGTCTAGGGACAAGATGTCTATACATAATGTTACATTATTGATGACCCTACAATTAGTGCACATTTGCCATGATCCATTCTTTTTTGGCACCAAAATTACTATTATGATTCATATCAGCTAAAGTTGTGCACATTTGCCATGATCCATTCGGTTACATCGGAATTTTGAATGAAATAAATAATAAGATTAGCTTTTTCATATATGTATGTATATTTCCCTTGCTGGCCTATAGATTTTCATAGAAGCTTATTGATCGCAAGGCAAATTAGATCGGGGAAGATGTGTCTCTTTTTCCAATATCCAAAAAGCAGTTCTCCTTCAGCAGAGAGAAAGAATGGAGATCATCTATCATTTATCACTTACAAATGAATGTACATGTACTTCTTCAAAGAAGATCAGAATGAATCAGGTTTCATATAACTTCATCTCTTCTGTCCCCATTTTGTTCTTGACTGTAGAGAGCCGTTAGCTGTTGTTGCAACTGTTCCACAACTACGTGGTTAGTTTGTTCTCAAATTTTAAAGCTTCAGCATACATTACATGGTTCTTCGATTGTTCATCTAACTATCACCCCAAATGGCCGACTGACTATGTAATGCAGTGAAAACCTGCTTAACTGAAACTTTTGAAGGAAAAAACATAGTTAAAAGCTTCTATAGAAAATTACCTGCATGTATTTTAGCTTCTCAGCAGTCAGTTCATCAGTCAAATTGATCACCCTGGAATATGAGATGGGGCAGGGAAAGAGGGAGTTAAATAAGCTATTTGAAGTCGAATAAAAAGGAAGACCGAGAAAGAATATTCAAATTGGGATAACTAACCGAGATTGAAGCTCCAAAATTTTGACCAGCAGAAGACGTTCCCTCTCTGAAGCTGCGCTATCCACCTGTCAGTGACACAAATGTCCAAAGGTAACATCATCAAGCTGTTGAATAATATTAGATTATAGGAATTAGTAGAAGCTTGTGTAACAAAATCAAGATTGACAAGTTATTCAAAGAAAATTGACATACAGTAGTTGAAAAGTAATTAAGCATACTAGTAAAAGGAATAAATCAAGTAAAAGTTACCCACACTTCCGTTGATCTCTGAACTGCGAGGTAATGGTGGCAACTTTCCATTCTGCAAAACTGAAAAAATTGATTGAATTATTATATCCTTCAAAACCCCATAAAGAATGCCTCAAACATAATGAAGGGAAAATCCTTCACCCACCATCATTTGCTTCAGCAGGTTGCAAGCTATTTAACAGATTCATTATAAGATCCTGGGGTAAAACAGAACTTTCCATGAGATTATAATATGGCAAACTTACAGTTATGATGATTAAACCACTAGTACTTTCATCACCTGTTGAATAGATGTTTGCTGGCAAAGATTTAGAAGTTGAGCAAAAAGAAGTGATTCAGAGATATTGGTGGTGGCAGAATCTTTGGTGGCCTGACCCACTGGCTGAAGAGAAACAGATTCAATAGAAAACAGATAAGCCTTATATATCAATCTAGTAATATATGATACATCATACAGTGTCTTTTTAATTTTGACAATATTTTATAAATTGTTTTGAGAGCATTAACCAAATATGGAATAAACATAGTGAAAATGCCGATAAACAAGGCAGTTAGATATGATGCATGCATATGGCTTATGTACAAACCATTTGTTTGGAATCTAACATCCAATCACTAACACTGGCAGATTTCCGCAGTTTTGATCCCTAAATCAAATGTAACAGGGATATAAATACATAAATAATAACAATTAGAAGTAGAACAACAACCAACCTGTGAAGATCGGTGTGAAACTGAAGTTAAAGGAATATCCTATGGCACAATGTTAAGTCAGTTAAAGTTAAGACAATAGAACAAACCACTTGAAAGCAAAGCATACCTTCACAAGATCTAAATTTTCTGACGTCACAGAGAATCTCCCTTTAATTTGTACTAGATTAGCCTTGGATTTGTCATCCAAGGAATCTCTGAATCCTACAAAGAGTAGTGGGAACCAAATTAAACTCGGAATTTAGGCTGTTTTGGTTCAGAAACTGTTAGAAATTCTGCACATAGCCTTATAGTGCATACAGTATAATTTAAATACCTCCAGAAGACTTTATCGGTGCTGATAAACTATTTGCTGAAGCTCGAGTTGGAAGCATCAATGGACCACTAAAACTTGGAGTTCGTCGCGCTTCACGATTATTTTTCTCGACTGGCAACTGATTTCCGTTCTCAAGCCTAAATGTAATAATAAGGCATTAATGTTTTATCAAGCAAAATATGATGATATTGACAAGTAAACAACAATTACCCTGAACTGAAATGTCAGTGTGTCAGTAAGAAATGACAAGAGACACACAACATGGGGGAATCGATTATTTAAACTTCAAATTACATTAGTTACAACATTGTATGGTCATAGACATCTTAAGAAAAATTAAGGGAAAAATGAGACTTTCCTGCCTATACATTTTTCGTGGTTGGCTTCAAACTTACACCTTTTATACAAAACAAATATGCTCAAAATTCAAAATAAAAAATAAATAAGGCAGTCACTAACGTTTATTGATTTTCTAAATTAAAAGCTACAATCACCACCCCATAATTATTGTAGATTTCTGAATTATTCTCTGTACCATGAATGCAGTGGTAAATGGAGAATAAATCCCTAGCATACTTTCTTGAAAGTGAATCCACAATCTCCCATATTCTTAATTCCTTCCATGTGACAGTGAATTACAATCACAAACAAACTATATAAACCAGAATATTAAAAGTAAACTGCTTTCATGGATTGAAGTACTATTATGTTAGAAACTCATCCTCAACTAATAATACTGACAACAAATATGCAGTATTGGATAAGTGTTTGATACTATTATGCCACCAATTCTGGTGTGGTGTGCAATAATCGTCTACATTAATAGGAAACAGTATCCAAAGCATTAAAGGAATGGATGCAGTACTGGTTCCCGATACAAATACAAGTATGAGATATGACAATTTTCAAAAATCCAAGGTCTGAGTATGTTAATAGAAATTTTTTACAAAAGTTATACATAAGAAATTAAAATTTTATAAAATAAAAGATGACAAGATTACATTAAAGATTAAAAAAAAATAAAAATTAAAGGCTAACATAAATGGAGTCAAACACTTGTCAGTTGTTGTGAAAATATTAGTAAGAAATGTTAAGAACTTCAATTTAACCAAAATCAAATTGTTGTGTTGAATGCTACAATTTGATTGTGTACTACCATTATTAGTTGGGTTGACCTCCCAACTCAATGTTACTACTGGGTGCCTCTAGGGACGCTTTATTTATAGCTTATTGGTAAGGACTAGACGAATGAGTCTGATTAAGTATGGAAAAAACAATGAAAATAGAGAGGGAACAAAAAAAATATTTAACTCTTGACTAAAAACTGTCATTTTTGGGAAAAATTTCCTCGCTACTATCCAAGCTATTATCAACTTGGTTGTCAAAATCACTCATTGAAGCATACGATTCAACATGTTGCAGGTTACCTAAAGATGACTCATTGACTCATTTAGTAAATTGAATGTTTCTGACACTTTTCATTGAATAAACAATCTAAGTTAGTGTAATTAATTGGAAAACTCAATGGAAAGATGTTATTACTTGGAGTGCAATGGATAGTTCAATTATTAATATTTTGCAGTTGATTTTTGAAGATTTCAGAAGAGTAATTGCAATTAGATCTAGTGGAAAGAAGTTAAAATACTGGAGGACTAATTTATGGGCACATGCATAGCTGATTATGCGGACACGAGTTAGATAGAACATATAAAAATAGAATTTTCTTCTAAAAGCAGCACCATTTTTTCAGACACAGATTTTTAGGTCGTCTTTACTTTGTCCTTCCTTTATTTTTCTTTATGGAATTTTGATAGGAAGGAGGGATATATCCCTTTATTCTCTTTACTCTTTAATAGAACAGTGATTTCCTATAATTTACATTTCCTGTAATTTTCTTTCAGCTGAACATAAAGTTTATTTCTGCAATCTATTTCAGTTTCTTTTCCTGTATTATTTCTGCAATGTCTTGCTAATTTCATTGGGGTTGAAGATAGATGACTTAATTCTTAACTCATTGAGATAATCTGAATGTGGGATATAACTAAGTTGTAACTTCTATTCTAACGCATTTAATCCTAAACTTAATGCTTCTCTGGTTCTTAGCATTCAGAGTTGATAAAGAAAATCTTTTAATTGGAAAATTGGAATCATTCTTGGAAGTGGATTAAATCGCTCCTTATGGGTTACCTAGGAATAGGAATCTTTAATGGTATGATACTATGGTCACTTTGATTCTAAACTTAATGCTAATTTTCTCTTGATTACCTAAGGAATTAGGAATTAAGAGTTGATTTAGAACCATTTGATCAACGAATTGATATTGGGTACCATAAAAATCTAACCATTAGATTAGTTATATTCTGGGTTATACATACTTTTCACAATGCATTAGAATTAAGGAATCTTAATTCAACCCACTTCTATATTAATTGTTAACTTTACTGAATTCATACCCATTTCTATTCTGCAATTTATTTGTCAATTTGTTTTAACTTCTTGCCCTCAGTTTTATTCTCACATTAAAGTAATCCTCCGAGTTTCCATCAATTTCAATTGTTGCATAATATTTAACTTCTGCATTAAACTCTTACTCTGTTTGTCACCTAACTAACAATATTCTTGTGGTTTGGTAGTTAACATTAATCTCAGTAAACGATAAAATTTAATTGTTATTACAAACGGTTTGGTACACTTGTCAATTTGTTTACCACCCGACGTGGTGTGTGCCACTGTAACTCACAAATCTGCTTGGAGGAAGCAGACTGGATCATTGCTCCAGAGCATGGAATTGAAATGACACACCAAAAATGTGCTGGATTGAGCTCCACATGTGAACCCTAAACTATGCTACCCAGCCAGAAAGAATCATTTGACACACTGCCTCTATTCCCCCTCACATTCGACACTCTCTAAGCATCTTCTGCTCAATTTCTTTGCTGGTTCAGGGTTTGAGTTACTGATTTCTATCTTTGGTTTGCTGCACCTGCATTCTCTTCCTTTCTCTTTTCTTCTCCAGTTCTCTGTTGCTTTGTGCAGTTATTTAGTGCAGTTTAGGGTTGCTGTTCTTGCAAAAAAAAAAAAGTTTGTGGGTGTTTGCTGCAATATACCTACTGTTTTGTTTTACTCCTTAATTTTATGCATTTCTTTTGTTTTGTCAAAAGCTTATGTGACTTATGTTGACTTTTGAGTTGTATTAGGACCTTATGAATCTTTAGTACAAGTTTTATTAAATGTTTGTTGTGGTTTAAGGGTTATAATTTTTCTTTAATGTTTTTTTTATGCATGTATATGTGTGTTTAAATATAATTTAGCATTTTAGTTGACTTTTACGAGTTGTGTTACGATTCACTGATACTAAAATCCAACACCCCTCCTCTGTTCCTATCTCTTGAAACTCAATTTTGACATCCTTGATTATCAATTACATTAAAGTCATGCTCAAGCTGACCTTTTAAATTATTTTGGTACATACCTGTTAGAATATATGAAAATATTCCCTATCAAAGAGGAATACTGGTCACCGAATTAAAAGTCATGTCATCTACTCTCTATTTTCCTTCGAAGTATTTTTATGTTTCTCTCTACCCCTTTTTGTCAGGCTAAAAGTCATACCATCTACTTTCTTAACTAGTGACATTAGTGGTCTTCTTACATGTCCAAACCACCTTAAATGATTTTTTGTTATCCTCTCTTTAATAAGTGTTATTCCAATATTTCCTCGTATGCAGCCATTTCTTCTCACGTTCTTTCTCATGTGATCACTCATTCATTTTAACATTATCATTTCTGTAACTTTCATTTTATTTGTGTCTGTAGCATTCTCATGTGACATATCCATATTCCATCACTATTTTGCTTTCCTCTAATTCAGAGCTCAATTTTATTTTCATCATTCTTCATTCAACTTAGTCATCTTGTTGCAATTGTCTTTCCAATTACCATTTGCATTTTCTAACCTTCCCTTTCAGTAATGTCCTTCCACCATTTCCTTTGTATTTCCACTATTGTACAGAACCTTTTTGCCACCATCTCCTCCCTCTGGTGGTCTGAAACACTTCTGCCACCCTATGCAATCACATCCACCACCATGTCACTAGTTTTTTCATCTGCCAACCTCCAGATCAAATGTCTACAGTCAACCCAACCCCATCAGTTTCACTGTCATTAGGGTCCTCATGCACCTATTCCTGTTTTCTAGCAACCAACTAATGACATTTTGATAGGGTCAGACGCAGCACAAGGTAGTCCAAACCAAACCCACGTTACATGGGCCAATTTATTAACTAAAGTCTACTAATCATTATATTATCTTACTATTTTTATCCTTTATAGTTTATTTTATTTCGTAAGTGATAGCTCTAGACTAGTTTAGATCCTTATTTTTTGGCCATCTATTTAGGAAAGTTGTTAAGAAGACCATAGTATTTATATTCATGGCAATCAGCTTTGGAAGGGAATAATAATAATAATAATTCAGCAAATTCATTCTTGGTTACCTACGCTTGAAACGTGAGAAACCCATGATACCTTGAGATCATATCACCATTTAATCCTAATAAGTCATCCTTAAATGGTCTTGAAGGGCATATTAGAGAGTGTAGTTCATTTTTTTATAAAATTCAGAACAATAAATGAGATTAACTAATTTTCTTAATTAATGTAATTTAGTTATTTTTTCCTTATTTTTGAGACCAGAGGGAGTATCTTTTAAGATGTTCCAGTTTGACTAAGAATAAAGCCAAAATACTCCTAAGGCTTTGTTTGAGAGTTTGGAGGAAGAAGGAGGAGAAGGGTTTGAAGGAGGAAGAGAAAGGAGGAGGAAAGAGATTAAACCCCTTCCTTTGTTTAAATGTTTAATATTGAGAGGGAAGGATGATGTGGGTTTAATTATATAAATGATATTATATTTTATATCTTTTATTTATATTTTTATTTTTACAAAAAATAAAAAAATATTTTTCTTTCTCTAAAAATTAATATTTTTAAAATTACTATTTTTATTTTTTATAAATGTTTTTAAAAAATCATCACTTGAAAAATTAATATTAAAAAAAAAAAGAATTCTATTTATGAAAGAGTACTAGAGAGAACTAAAGAGTGGGAGAGAATGGGAGAGAGAAAACTCCCAAAATGAGGAACTCAAAAAACAAGGGTTAGAAGGGTTCTAGAGGGTTTAAAAAAACTCCCAAAACCTTCCCCTCCTAATTAAACAACTTTCAAACAATGATTAATCCCTCCCTTCCCTTTCCCTCCCCTCCCTAGTCTAAGGAGTGGGCATCAACCCAACACCCCACACAAAACCAATGAAACCGAATAAATTGTGAGGACGGGCGGGTCAGGTGGATATATCAGGTAAACAAATTGATAAGTTCAGTTCGCAATGGTTATGTTCAGATGGCTGTGGGTCTCATAAATTATTTTCATTGGTACCCGTTACTGACCAAACACATTAAAAAAGAAATAAAAAAAGTTTCAGCCTTTTTTTCCTTTGGCCCACATGAAAGAGAGTATAAGGCTTGGCCCAAGTGGCCTTCATCATAAAACATCAGTACATGAGAGGCAAAACCCTAATCATATTTTCCTCTTTATTCTCATCTTAGTTTTCTTCAAGGGTGCTGCTTCTCTCATGCCATCTTTTCACAAGTTCTCTATTTCCAATTTTCATGATCCACATGGCAACAAACACCTTGGATGCAACAAATGCGTCACATCTCTAGTTCCTTTGGCAATGGCAAGACCAACCACTTTGACGATGTTGTCGATCCTGTCTTGCTAGCACATAGGCAAGATGCTTTCATTTAGGTTCATGAAAGAGCTCGCCAAATCCATGTCCAACAATGATGGCAACCATAAAGGCAAGGGAACAACAACCACATGATTGCACTATCTGGTACCATCTCAGATCAAAGGTTGCATTGTAGAAAAGGGGAATGCTTGAACCCACCACAAGTCACACCAAAAAGGTAAGGCCTGGCAAAAATTCTTTACTTTACACTTCAGTTTGAACCCAATTGAACCCACCAATACACCCTTGACTCGTTCAACCTGTGACCCACTATACTCATTGACGTAAACGGTCGGAGATGGTTACTATTTTGTTCTATTCAGTTTGCTTTGTTTTGAGTTTTATAAACTCGAAACCAACCAAAACTGACTGATTCGCAGCCCTCATACTCCTTATAAAGCTTAAGCAATAATATGAAAATATCCAATGTTATATTGATCATATATCTTAGATTAACCCTTAAGATTAGTTTTTCTATTTCCTCATTATCTTTCAGGATTGGTTACCATATTTCCTTATCTCATGATTTGTTTCCACTTTAGTTAGGTAATAAAATGAGGGTTGGTGTTCTAGATTTTATGAACGTATACATGGCAATACTCAATAGAACATCATTCAAAGCCCCTTTTCTTGTTATTTTTCCCTTTATTCCTAAAAACCCTTCATTTCAATAGTACCTAAAACATACATATACCTGGTAGATGTACCACTCACAAAATGTAGTACCCATGCTTCATACTCTTAAGAGTTATTCCAAAGCAATAACTATAGCTTCATACCCAACAATACCTGTACTGAGTCCATGTACAACTCCCAAATTGGTGCACTTGTGCTTCAGTCCTATAACTATTTGAAAGCAATAACTGTTGGGAGTTCAAGTATGAATGAAGAAAGCACTCATTGGAAAAAAATAGACATTATCTCTTAAGGTTTTGAGTCAAGATTTTGTGTCAAGCCCTCATATGCGGTTCCTCACTAATCCCATGAAATGAAATCTCTCAAGTATTATATGATTCCACTAACCGATTGGTGACATTAGAGCTTAGGAATCAATTGAGATGAGTAATAAAAATGGTGGTTGGTACACCAGTATATGCTGCCCTCAAAGAAAGGAGTCACCCAAATAGTTAAGAGTCTTAACTCTTGCAAGAAGGCTACACCACATCATAGATACTTTAAAGAAAAGGTTATCTTTTCTTGAAGATGGCCCAATTTGGAAGGGGAAAAATGAAGTGAGAATCATATTAGCAAGCACAACACATGTATTAATGCCTTAGGATTTTGGGTCCCAATGTAGAATTAAGCCCCCAATTGTAGTCATTTGCCAAGCTCATGAAAGGAGGTCTTCTTCCATAATGTTTCAAACTCCTTACATCTAATAATAGTGTCAAGCATTGAGAATCAAATTGATCCAAAACACCAAAAAGACATACCCTAACCACTTTGTGTCTTTTCTCAAATAACAGCAAGTTTGGATTTGTGTTGGGCAGGCATCAAACCGGCGTATAGCCACAACACTTCTCTTGGTTATGTTGAGCTAAACGTGAGTTCGAGCATTTTAAACACCAATTCAAACACTCCCTAAGTCTATTCTGATAACACATCTAGACCGTGAGCCAACTTGAATCTTTTGGTTTCAGCAGTGGAAATTTGGCCAGCATACATGAGATTGAAAGCTCACTCAAAGTCGATGACCCAAATCTTGTTGATTTTTTATTGTGTTGCATTCCTCCCAAAGGGTTGTTCACTCCCACTCCTACACGAACAATCCCCTGTATCTGCATCTACCAATGCAGACCTTAAGCCCTGAAATGCCTGAAACCCACAAATGACGCTGATATCCACAATTGCTTTCTTCAAGAATGCTTCCAAAATCTCCATTTCTTATAAGATAAGAGATCCAGCACATTGAATCAATTTATTTAGAACCGACATACATGAACAGAGAAATCGCACGAAAGATATATAGAATATAAATCAGTTAAATCTCATCCAATAGTTTCCCCTAACAAGTTACAATTGAGCCACTGCATCTTTTATGCTAGGCCCTCTAATGCAGATATGAGCCTTTGGAATCTTTTAGCTCAGCAAACAACCAGCGGGCCCAAGGTGTGGAGGGTGCATAATAAGAGAAATAGCAAAGAGAGTAAGAGGGATGCTAAAGTGGCAGGGAGAGAGAACATGCTAGGAATTGGTTAGGAGATTTACTTTCAGTTATAAGGGATGGAGTGAGGTATGTGTAAGGTAGCAGAAAATAATGCCTTTCTGGTTGTTATCATAAAAGAGAACAGTAGCTCTCCATAGGAGCGAAGTCAACAGTAAGATATTCATCCTCCGTAATCTCTAAATTCAATTCAATAAACATACCTATTTTCTCTCTCCCCCCCCCCCCTTCTGTACATTGCTTGTCCTGTGTAGAGTTGAAACCAGTTTGTATCATTTTAAACGTGCTGCAAGTAACTCTGAAGGCCACTCCCTTTTCCACCTGTCCTACTATTTAAACTAAATCCCTCTCTTTCCAACCTCTGTGGCTAACTAACCAATTATTGATTCTCTAGTGTAACTAACTATTGATATATAGGAAACTCTAACAGAAGCTCTCTTCAATTTCATCAAACAATATGTAAAACTTCTAATCACAGCCTAAAATAAGAACAACAAAACACATGATAAAATATATAAAGTACCTTTCTAATGTACGTCCTGACAAAGAATGATTGACAACTGTGCCTGGCAACAGTGGCCCACTTTGGGTTTGATGACTTTTCACAGACTGACTTTTAATTTTACTCGTACCTATACCTTTCTCTACACTAGATGTTGTTGCTTCTGTAATTGATCCATTTCTCTTCCAAATAATATTTTTGGGTAATTTAGGTTCCTGGAGATCACTTTCAAGAATCTCCTTTTTGTTCAAGTATTTACTCTGCTCATTCTGTTTTATCTCAGCAGCAATTACTTCTGATGTGATTGTATGCTGTAGTAATTTCTCTGAATCCATTTTGCTAGTACCAGACTGGGAATCAACTGCACCCTGTCATGACAAACAAAAGATGAAAATGAATATCTTTAGGGTATAGAAAGTTTAAAACAATTGAACCAACATCAAAATTCAGTAGCAGGATCTTCTTACAGCCTTGTAATTGGTGAAAAATTTGCTTTCGTCTTCTTCCCTCATCTCTGCAATATCATCATCATCCCTCACCTAGCAAAATTGAAGACATCAGTTTGAATCTAATAAAGGGACAAACTAGTCAAGTAAATAAAATCTGAACACAATAATACATACCAAAGAAGCTTGAGCTTTCAAATCATCAATATCAAAGTTCCATGCACTAACTCCTCGTTTGTATTCACTCTTAAGTAAAAATAGAAGTGGAGAAGATTTCAGTTAATATAATTGATTATCTATGTACACAAAAAGAAAGGTGATAATCTTTCTAGTTTTCTACCAGAAATGTGTATGTGATAACCAAAGCTCTTAAATGTTCAATTATCAAAAGGAATGCTTGGGTTTGTCATAAACAAAACACCTTTATAGGGGTTGGGGACAAAGTGCCACAAAACCCTCCATTTTAAAATCATGGTTACTATAAAATGTCTAGAAATAGTCAGCCTTCTCATTTTGATTAAATGGCTAACTTGGCTCAGTTCATAATATTGCTCCTAGGAATCATTGAACATATCATATTACGTGACAAATATACATTTGAGTATCAGCTTTTACCTGAGACATTGCTTCTTCTTCTGCAGAAGGCATTTGCTTCAGTGCTAGTTGAGAAGCATCTTTGAGCTGCAAGAATTTGAGAAGTAAAGAAAAAGTAGCAGGAAAAAGAAAGTTTAAAACCTACACCAAATCCTGTGTGAAAATTAACCTGGAGGGCTTTTAAACGTTTCCAAAGAGGTGGTAAGTCAGCAAACAATTTCTTTACAGAGAGTTCAGGATGCTTGGCATGTTTGAAGAAGGAATGTTTCAGTAACTTATCCGCTGACGGCCTTTTTGTTTGATCTTTCACCAGGCACATAGCAACCATTTCCTTAAAAGACTGATTACAACTGGAAATACTTTAATTAGACTACTATTAAGACGAGAAAAGCACTATGAAAACAACCATATTAGAATCAAAGATCCGCCTTATATGATATGACAGCATGAGTAAAGAACTAAATAAAAGCTGTATAATATTGACTCTTGTGCAACAATCTATACAGAAAGAAAACTGATACCTTAGAGAACTTTTTATCACGGTCATAATCAAGTCCAGGAGGGGCATTCTTTATGGTCATCAGAAGAACCTGTACGTGAAACAAAAAAGTAAGTCGTTGTCCTATATTTTGCATTATACCACAGGAACCTGAATGTGTCTAATGCCAACATCTATCTAGATATTGTCTCTCAACACCCCCTGGATATAAATACCTTCATTGGAGGATATTTTGAAAATGGTGCATGACCATGAGCCAACTCGAGCGCCGTAATCCCAAATGACCAAATATCAGCCCTATCCAACATTTATGGACCGAAGCAATAAGAATAAACTTGGTCCATTATTCAATCATAATAAAGACAAGATGTTTTGCAGTCTGTTGAAATAATGAACAAAAAAGGATTGCAGCCCCTATGTAAGCCACAAACTTTGTCAAGCACTTTTGCATGACTAAGAGGGCATTTGGAAGAGTTACTGCAGAGCTTCTTTGAGTCCATGAAAATAACTTATGAACTTTTTATAGACTCTTTTCAACATATTTCAATAAGCTTCATTAAGAAGCTTCTTATAATAAACTCATTTTAGCTATGTACAGGTATGAGTTAGTTAACTTCCAAGAAATCAGTTACAATTAGTTACTATTGATTACAGCTATACAATGATAATCTGTATCCAGCTCAACCAATCAAGGAGAACCACTTCTCTTCATTTGACTCTCATTTTCCTCTCAATTCCTTTCCTTTTACTCTTTCACCATTGCTGCTCAAACACCTTTGAGCATATTTCAGTAAGCTTCACAGTTAACAGTCAAGTTTATGATAATCCCTCATTTGACAAGAGCTGATAGAAAACACTTAATTAAGCTGTTTACCAAATGGATTCAACACCTAGCAGAGCAGCATTAAATGTTGAGTTGGCAGTTTTACGTTTTAAATGTGGGCCCAATCTAAGATTGGACGAGAGTGGGCGGGCTTTAATCTTGAGTGGTTTGTTGGTCTAAAATCTCTAAGGCAATTTTGAATCATGACCCTCGGGAAACTTTATCATCTTAACAAGCAGTCACAAGAATGGCAGAGTGTTCTGGCAATTGGTAGAAGCATATAAAATAGCAAGAAGAAAAATTGGACAGACTACTGACTTGGAATTATAACCACTTCCGGGTTGAAGCACCTCCGGAGCCATCCTGCAAGAGAAAGGCAACATGCTATGTCAGGTTGAGAGGGGAGAGATGTTGCAATGAGATGGCTATTGGTCACCGACCAGCAGGGAGTTCCGACGATAGTGTTTCTGGAACGCTGTCTATCACCGGCGTCAAACAAGCAAGCCGCGACGCCGAAGTCGGCGAGCTTGACGGCGCCGTTGCTGTCAAGTAAAATGTTGCCGGCCTTGACATCTCGATGAATATGGCCCTGCTTGTGGAGGTAGTCCAAGGCCTTGAGAGTTTCCTTGAGGATGGATCCGATTGCGTCTTCTTCAAATCCATCGGTGTAAGCAATCTTCATGAGGTGCAAACAGGAACCCTGGTCCATGAACGGCATGACCACCCAGAGACTCTGCCCCACCGCGAAGGAGCAGTAAGCCCTCACCACGTTGGGGTGGTCTATGAGGCTCATGGTCTGACTCTCCCTGCTCAAGTCATCCTGTTATGTCATGTCAAGCCAGCACCCAAATAACAATTAACCAATGTTACAAAATAGAGCGGTGGAAAGGGGAACGAGATTGCTCCTACGAACCAGGTTGATGTTGCAGCGATCCAGATCCAAACACTTGACCGCAACGACTTGGTTGAAGGGAAGATAAATGGCTCTGCAGACAGCGGCGGTGCCGCCATGACCCACTTCTTCTAGAAGCTTATAATCGGCGGGGTTGGCGGAGTAGTTTCGCGGATGAGTCCCTCCTTCCATTTGGTTTGTGTGCTGTTGTGTTGTGTTTGAGTGAAACAAGAAGATGTTTTTATGGGCTGGTTGACCGCCACCACTTTGATTTTGAGTCAAGATATGAATAAAGCGAAGCAGTGGCTGGTGCCAACGCCTATTCCCAACCACTCACTCCACCACCACCTGCTCACGTGTTCCTCTCCTTCCCCTTTTGACACCTGGATCCTCCTATTCTTTCTTTTTTCTCTTTAAAGTAATTGAAATAATTTGTTTTGCTTCCTTATCCATGTAATAATTATAATTATTAATTTTATGTTAATAAATAATAAATTTAGTAATTTATTTAAAAATATTAATTTTTTTTACTTTTAAGATATTAAAAAATTTATAATTATTAATTTATGTGAATAGAATATTCTCAAGTTTACTAATATTAGAATAAATATTTTTTATTTATTTATTTAAAAAAAAAATTACTTATAGTACTATACCTGTTGCGCCAGTGTCTTTCCACACTAGTAATAAGAGTTGCGCTTCAAAGATGCTGTCCCTAAATATTCCAATAATATAGGGCTTTAATTGAACAATGAGAGTAAAAGTGGAAGAGTTTATATATATAAAAAGGTTTAAATATTATAAAACGATATAATAGGTTCACAGTAAATCAAAGTAAAGATGGTAGGTAAAATATTATAGTACTCATTCTTCTATTTGAGTTTTAAAAAAATACTTATACTTATTCGCATGAGTATGAATATTAATTTTGTATCCATCTTATACCTATTACTTACACTTGTTTGAGAAAAAAATATTTATAAAGAAAAATATATTTATATAACTTCAAATAAGTAGCATAATAATATAAAAATTTAATAAGTAGTTGCCAAATAAGGTATAAATATAAATAAATATTCAAATATCACAAGTGCTAAATGTATCTTAATATAATAATTTTCTAAATTAAAATTCTTAGAAACAATAAGCGAAACTAAATACACAAGTTATTTGTTAGCGATGATTTTATCTTGTGTGAGATTCGATCGATTGACAACATCAGAGTAACAACGAAATAAATCTGCACAATGAGTGACCCTCCTTATAGAATCATTTGATGACTTCTTGTGGCGGCATTGACAACTAACTTTAAAACGTTTCATAGTTGTTAGGTTTTAATGATGCAGACACTGAGAATGAGAGTAGAGTTAGGGCCGGGAAGTTCAAGTATTAAACGATAACGAAAAGTAGATACATAAAATATTTTTTCTAACTTTTAAATTTGAAATTGTAAGAAAAATAATAGATTTAATTAAAATAAAATAATTTAATTAATATATATATATATATATATTAGTATTTTTAATTCATGTACTATATGAAAGTATTTTGTCAAAAATACAAATTTTTAAAAAATTATTTTAATAAATTAAATATTTATATTGTATATAAATTTTATAAGAAAGAATTTGAATAAAAGATAAATGGTCACAATAAAATTTTATAATAAAGAAATATATGTATATAAAAAAATTATATTTTTTTATCCAAAGAAAAAATTAACAAATAAGAAGAATTAACAATATTTTTTTATATTTTATATATTTTCAAAAACTTCTTTGAACATAAATAAATGGTAAGAATAATATTATTTAGATTCAATAGATTATAGTTGTGCTTATAATACACATGTTGCATAGGAAAAATATTATTTTAAATTAAAATATAAAAAATAAAATTTAAATATTATCAATAAATAATAAACTTACAGTAATAGTGATTGTAAAATTTATAAAAATTTTACAATATGTTTATTATTTATCATTCATTTTATGATTTAAATATCAATATAATTTTATTCACAAAAATATTTGTGTGAAAAATATTTTACGTGTGTCATATATAAATAATATTTTTTTAAAAAATCAATCTCATATCAACTGTGTAATAATTAAATTGTATTAGTCTAAGTAAATAATATAAAATAGTAAATAAATTTTTCAGTAAAAATATAAATCAAAATAAATTTTTTGGTTTACTTTATTATTAAATATATTTTTATATTAATCTTATATAATTTCACTTAAGTAGAATAATAATATAAAAATTTAATACATAGTTTTAAAACAAAGTTCAAGCATATATATAGTGGTTTTAGTCATTTTAGGAAATTTATTTTTTATTTAATTTAATAATTAAAAAATTAATTTAAAACAATTTATGTTGTTAACATTTGCCACATTGCCTTTAAATATTTTTTATTTTGATTATTATTATACGTAATATTTTTCTATTATGGTCTTTATAAAAAATATGTTTTTCATTTTAATCTTTATACAAAAAAAGTTTAGACTATACTGATCAAAATAAAAACAATATGTTATACATAAATATTAAAAACAAAAAAAATTACATGGAGAGACTAAAATAAAATTCATCATTGTAACACCTCAGATTTTTGTAATAATATTTTAATATATTAATATAAGGGTATATGTGAAATTTTCATATATTTGTAAGTTTGATTTATATATATTATGATGTGTATATGTGTGTGATGACATGGACGTGTATGAATATGTGAATATGATTGTGAAGAGGTCCGTATAGTGTAGTTGAAATGTAATGTAAATTTGTGAATAGGTTGGAATTGATTGAAAATTTAGCTAAGTGTGTAATGCAATGGTGTTCTCGGCGAGAAGGACCTGGGTGAGCTGGATGATTATGTTGTTGCGTTCTCGCTATAGCGAGAAGGCAATAGAGAGGGGTGCATTTCTGAGTGCAGTCTCACTGTAGCGAGATTCTACAAAAACTAGAGTGCAATTTCCTCTGAGATTTTCGCTGTAGCGAAAGTGTCGAAACCAGAAGGGTATTTGAAGGATTTAGGGTTTGGAAAATGCATTCCCTTTTTTTTCTTCAAAATCTTTTCGATTCTCTCAACTCAAAACTCTATTTCACTGATTAAACTGTCTCCAAAGTCGTTTGGGAGCTAGATTGAATATTGAAATCATGTTTGGAACACTTGGAAATGAGTTTTATGGGTTAGGGTTTTAGTTTTCGTCCCTTTTCCTTATTTTCTCAGTTTCTCGTGGGGATTTTCCATATGTTTAGGACGAAATCCATGTGGAGAGTCTTTTCAGTGTTGATTTCATGTTGGGCCTTCAATTTGAGGTAAGGAGGAAATCTACCTTATCTCCTTGTGTCTTTAATCCATTTATATTGATAAATAATGTAATATGGTTGAGATAGAATGTGGGATAAGCGTGTTTTGATAGAGGATTCTTGATTGAGTATGATGAAATGAATATTGTTCATGTGTGTGATAGAATGGCTTGACTAAGGTAGGGTTTCTATGAAAATTTGGATGTTGAATGTGATATAATTGAATGTGGGCCTATGTGTCGTGTATGAAAGTGAATATTATAATGTAATTGAGATTGTGGGTGAAACTATGTGTTAGCATGCCATCGTGTGGAAGATAGGGTGGTAGAAATACCTTGGGGAAGAGAGAGTGGTGGTGACACCAACAGTGAGCATGGGTGCACCACAAGCAACATACTTTCTTTCTGACTCGGCTTCTAACTAACACCTTTGTTAAGGGGTCCGTGACTGCACACGTTGTATCTGTGAGGCAGGGGTTATCCGATGACCATCCATGGTGTGAAACTGAGTAAGTCTCTGATGTTGATGGCTAGCATGCAGTGAGCCCACGTGGGTGTGAATTGTTTGATAGTGCAGTGAGTGCACCTAAGTGTGAATGAGAATAAAATTATTGTTTTGTGTTATATGATGAATGACTTACATTATAATGGAAATATGTGAAAATATGTCAGGTGAGTCTCTATGTTTGTGCATGTTTGATAGTGTAGAGTACTCACCCTTACATTTATTTTTCAGGTGACAAAGACGATCAATACTGGGTTCAGTGAAGAGATGGATGGAACTGCTATATATAGGACTTAGAATATTATTTTGAATTATGATGTAATTGAATTGGTCTTGTAGCAGTTATTTGATATAAACTTGTAATTCTTTCATTTATTTTGAAATACTTTGATACAGCCATGTGTTGAGAATTATTTAAATAAAAAAAAATTTTATTTCTATTTTGTGAAATTTATTTATTTGAAAATAAAATTAAGGTGTTACAATCGTCAAAATAAGTTGAACGAGGAAATGTTGTAATATGGTAAAATATATCAACTTTAAATAATATAACGATAAATTAATGCAGTAAAATATAGTTTAGTGTTATAGTTTTAGTAACTTTGAGAGTTATTTAATCATGTTTGGTAAGGGATTTGAATTCAAATGGAGTTAGTACTCTGAAGTAGAAGGCCAAGTTAGCTAAAGGTAATGCCAAAAATGAGCTTAGGCAAGAGGATTTAGGAAATAGTTTATCCAATGTATTAAGCATTAAAACCAACTTAAAAAGGAAGCCAAGTTAAGCAAGGAATCTTAGCCAAATGTAATAAGAAAGGTTTGGTTAATATAACAGTAAGGTCAATGTGTGGGTCACGAAAGAGTCAATGAGATAGTCTATACAATCTTGGACAGTGATAAAAAAAAGGTTAGTTTCAAGGTCAATTTAACACAAAAGACAAGTCAAAGTTTATTTTCAAATCACTTTCAATTTCACTATAAAATATTTTTCCATTGTATATCCACATTTCATGTTACTAAAGCACCACTTTATTCTAACCAAAGAAGAAACTTCTCACTTTCCTAAAGGTCATAAACTCAAAACACATCTATACCCTGCAAGATTTCACCCCATCACCAAGAGATCATCAATCACTTAGCCACCATAAGTGTCAGGCCTATATATCTATCTATCTATATATATATATATATATATATATATATATTACTCTTTTTAATTTAGGTTGTAATTGCTTGATTTGTATGAATTTTCATATATTAGAATATAAATGTGAGAGTTGTGCAATTGGTGAATAAAAAGTTATATGTTACAGTACTGTTTGATTGCTTTGTTTGATATAGTTAGTAATGAGGGTTTGTGATCAGTTATTAAGTATTTTGTATATGTTTTAACATAAGGTGTTAAGTATTTTGTATATGTTTTAACATAAGGTGAT